TTGGAACCGGGTAACCACACCCGGGGGGGGGGGGTCATCCGACTCTCTGCCGGCCCTATCATGGTCTTGACGATACGGATTTGTTTTTGGGGGGGGATAGGCAACTCACGGCAGATTACGGTCTACCCGCCGGCGTGCTACACCACTTGGCACGAACCCTGGGTTGCGATCTTCGAAACTCGACACCATCTGGACAGCAACAGGCTTTGTACCCATACGCAAAAGACACTATGATGGCAGCGAGTGCTTCTTGTGAAACCCGTCGTCGAAACCTTTCCGCCACCGCTACCCGGCTATTATTTCGTCTCTGTAGACTCTTGGCCCAGGCGGTGGACGGCCGTGCCGCGGCGGTCCTCAGCGCCGAGGCGAGGCGTTTCTTGCCGGCCGCTCACCGCGAGTGGTTCAAGAATCCCGTCAAGGTAACCGCGGGAACGGGTGGGGCGCAGCTCGTGCGGAGTTGGAAATAGTTTTGGGGGTTCGGGGTGGGGGTGGGGGGGGGTTACTGGCTCTGTGAGAACCAGAAAGTCTGTTATTTTTCTGTTTTTTGGAGGAGGAGGGGCCCTGTGATGCGGCTTTCTGTCGTAACCTTGCCGGTTCTGGAATGCTGGTGGTACGGTACAAGAACCATTTGGCCTGGCGGTATGATACACGAATTATATGGCGCCGGAGCCGCGGCTTCCTCTGTTGGTTTGCTGTGTTCGTGCTATTCTGCCTGAATTTATGCCTTCTTTGCCAAGTCCAGGGCTCGCAGCAAGCGGGTTTCACTTCTTCGATTAACGTGCGCGCGATATACAACTGACATAAAGCCGTACCGTTGGCACAAGCTTTCCAAGCACGCAGCTGATTCCGTGTGTTCCACGGAAGCAAAACCCCGTTCGACTCGATGCCTCTCTGGTGCCGGGCTTCTCACTGCTGCTGCTGCTGCTGCTTCTGCTGCTGCTGCTGCCGCTTCTGCTGCCGCTTCTGCTGCCGCTGCAGGGTGTTGTGGCGACCCCTCGAGCCAACAACCCGTTCTATCTCCCGCGGCTCAGATCGTTGGACGTTCTGGAGTTTGAGGTGCCGGAGGCGGTGCAGAAACGGTTTCTGCAGTGAGTGTGTTGCAACGAGGTCTCATTTTTTTTGTGCCTCCGATCTCGGGTGATGCGCATCGGTGCAACGTTGGTCGTGCTGTCAGCCAGCCACGCGCACTCGTTGTTGGTCCCAGCCGTGTGGCGCAGGCTGTGTCAATTTCGAGAGCTTGGCAGGGTCGGTGTGCACGAGTGCTCGCCGGTTTGTGTCGTTCCGTTCAGATGTCGCCCGCGTATAGTATTACACAGTATGACTCGACACAGCAGGACTGCATACAGTACATACCAAAAGAAAAACGCGCGGCCGCGCCGGCAAAAACAGCTCATTGCCCGGGCAATAGTCAAAACCTTTTGCATTTTCACCTTCCACACGCAGGGTTAGACCGCGCTGGCAAAAACAGCATATGGCCCGGGCAATAGCCAAAAACCATTTTCACCTTCCGTACACAGGGTTAGCAGTAGTTGCTCGTGCTGTTATTCAATACTGGTACCAGACACCCGGTGACACAACCCTTTTCCGCACACGGCCCGCCCCGTTCCGCCCTGACACAACGCCACGTCACTGCCAGGGGCGCGGAGTCGAGAGTGCCGTGGCTGGTGCGCGACCACCGGGAGATCATGGCCCTGGCCGGGGTGGAGGTCGGCCCCGGACGGCTGGACGACTACGTCGCGAGGTACTCGGCCCTCATGTGGCTGGAGGAGAGCCAGATGTCCTGGGACGTCCACCAGTACGACCTGCACGACGTCAGGGTCACCCTGGACTCGAGCCGCTACCGAGAGGGTGACCCCTCCACCAAGTGAGGGTGGTGTGTTGTTCGTTTCTGGCAGCTGCTGCCGCCACCGCCAGCTGTTGTGTCCGCTCTGTCTTTCTATCTGGCTGTCTGGCGGTCTGTCTGTTGCGCTTTGGGGAAGGTGGAGTGCGTCGGTGGAGTTTTGATGGGTATCATTTTTGCACATCTCCACGTTTTCGTGTATATTTTCCGGTTTGGAATCCGGGGGGCGCCGTGGGGCGTTTCGTAACCCCGTCCGGGGGGCAGGAAAGCCTACGAAAGGCGGTCGGAAAACAGACCAATTTATGTTGGCACCCAGTGCTCGCCTCACAGGAACGTGTTTGCATTAAAACCTTCAAGGCTGTATGCTCAGCTCTTGGGAACCAATTATGAGCAGCTAGGGTAGAGTATGCACCCATCACGCGTGGTTATACTAGGATTCCGTGTGCAACTTACAATTAGGATTGGCTGTCTGTATTCAAGGCATACTCTGCGCACGCGCCACTCTAGTTTATCAAATTTGGCTCCGAGAAGGTCACAGCAATGGAGCTTGCAGCCTCGAAGGTTTGATTACAAACAGGCCTCCTTGGGGGCGAGCACTGAGCGCCATCGTGAGTTGGTGTGCTTTCCAACCACTTTTCCGCAGTCTTTTCGCTCTCTGTGGGGGTTTTCGAAATGTACCACGGCACCCCCAGATTCAAGATCGCAAAAATAGTATCTGGCACAGTGGTGCGATAGCTCGTTGCTTGGACGAATCAGCCAATGAATGTAGGCCGCAAAATTTTTGCCTTTGATGGGTACAAATTTGGGGAAGAACTGCCAACCGTACGGAATCGTTTCACAGAATGCCAGACAAGGTAGCGCCGAGAAGACCGAAGTCTCACCCCCAGGTTTCACAGCTCATCCTTTCCGCGACGCCGCTCGCGCCTCTGCTCTCCTGCTGCTGTTGTTTGATGTTCCGTACGTAGCATTGTTGGCAGGGTAGAGGTACCGGGTGTGTTGGAGAGTCGGCCCAGGCTGGCCATGGGCGACGTCGTCCGACTAAGACCGCCCGCTCAAGCGAAGGCGGGTGCGAAAAAGGTGTCCAAGGCGAACGGGCAGCATTGGAACGGCGGCGTTGGCGATGTCGTGAGCGCTGACGGCACCGACGGTTCTCACCAAAAACTGGGAAACGCCCCAGATTTCGAAGTGCAGGTATATGGTGTTTGGTTGCCCCTGTTGCGATGGCGTTCGTTTTTGAGTCTGGTCTGGATACAGCATCTTTAGTGTTCTTTTTTTCGGCTTTCAGTGTGGTGTTGCTCTAGCACCTCGTCGTCGCTTCGTGGCATCAGTTAAAAGTTGTGCGTCCTCTCGTAACTCTTCTATTGCTTCAGATTGCCGTTTTTCCGTTTTTCCGTTTTTTTTTTGTTTTGCCGGTTCGGTCGAGCGCGGTTGTATCGCATAGAGCGGGCCGTAGGGGGGGTAAGTCGCCGGTGCGCGTGGTGAAGTTGACCAGACCACACCGCCCGTCCCAATATTTTCGAAGGGCAGTAAGCACCACCATCCACTAGAACAATGCGCACCAGGTACAACGTGTACACCACGAGAATCAAGCCAAACGCCAGACTCAAGAGGTGGCCTTTTCGGCAACGGGAAGGTATGGCTCCGTCGCGATTAATGCACGTGGTCAAAAGGAAGACGGAGGCAAGCAACGCACCCTTACCCCGCCCTTATCTTTACGAGATTTTCTGACTTCGATCCAATAGCGCCTCACTTGCCGTCCGTGGTGCACCCCTGTCCCGCGCCGCCGCCGCACGACCGTCTATTTGTCTCGCTAGGCCTTAGTGAGCAACGTCAGCTTGTCCCAGGGGGTGGTCACGCTCCTCCTTCCGCACCCCGGCTCGCTCACGGCGGCCTCGTCGTCGACGCAGGGCTCCGAGCTCTACGCCAAGACCATCGCGAGGGCCGTCAAGGCCGCGAGGGCCAGCGTACAGGCGGCCGGCGGCGGCGGCCGCCGTAAGAACAAGGAGGAGGCTGCGATGGACGGGTGGCACTGCCGGTTTCAGCTGGAGCGGCATGGCTTGCAGGTGTGACGATGGGACGAAGTTTACGCGAAACTCCAGGGCGCAATCAGTTTGTTCTTGTTTGCGGAAGGGGGTTGATTCTTGTTTGGTTTCTTACGACTTGGTAGGCCCCTTCCGTAGAAAGACGTGGCAGAAGGATCCTGAGGTCGAGGTAGCTTTAGCCCGCTGTCGAAGGCAGGCGGGTTTCTCCGATGTTTGGGCAAGGAGAGAGGGTCCAGAGAGAGACAGAGACAGAGAGAGAGAGAGCAGGGCGGTGTCACATGTGGTTCACCTGCTCATGCCAGGAAGTGATATGTGGAAGACCCGTGCATCCGTCAGTGCCCAAGTTCCCATGGTTCTCGGACCGCTTCTAAGGATCGATTCTTCCTACACTTTGAACATGTCCACATCGATCCTATGCTTACACACTTCTCTGTTTCTGCGTTGAACGTGTGTTGGTCATGTTTTGACCTTGGAATGTGTCTGTAACCACATACACAGCGACGGAAAATGGAGGTGCTGGGTAGATAGATCAGAAGGAGTAGTTTAGACACAACAACGATACATGGCTTGAGGCATGCCGCGGCATGAACGGTGTTCGGTACCGCTGAGGCCCCTGTAGCGAAACTGCGGTGGCTTCATGATCGTGATTTTTGCGACGACAGCATCGATTGGTGTATGAAATTGTGACGCTTATTTTTTCATGTTGTGGTGGCGGTGTACGTTTACATTCAGAAGCCGACGATTTTGGCACCCGCGTCGGAGCCTAAAGTTTCCGTGCATTCGTGAAGTTGGTGGCGAATGTCTCAAAATCGTGTTGTTTTTGTGTTGTATCTAGATGGAACCGCACACAGACGTTTCTCGACCCTAAGAACCAGGAGCCGAGTGCGCACGTGACAGAGAAAAGAAAAGTGTCCACTATTAGTGGGAACAGCAGTAGCTTATTTAGTCCTCGAAGAATTTTCCGGAGAGGCAGGCCGAGGCGCTTCCACCCTCCGCGGTTTGTGTCACCGGTCTCGTCATGCCTCTTGTTGCCGCCGCTCTTGTGTTCCAATTCCTCCGCTCGTCCTCGCCTGTTCTCACGATCGTCCATACACTTACCCGTCTCTGGCGCCCGACTTTGCTGCGGTGGTGTTGATCGATCGATCCTGCGCCCGCCGCCCGTCTCTGGTACGGCCCGCCCAGTTCATCCACTACGCCCTGAATAGGCTGGTGATGTTCGGGGACAGTGTGAGCGGCTCCTCCCCCCTCCGGTACCTGTTCCCCGAGCCAGAAATGTTGCCCGAGACTCCGCTCTGGGTGAGCGAAGAAAGGGCTTGCAAAGTTGGGGTTCTGCTTGCTTGTGTGGGGGGAAATGGGTTACCTGCTGTTCAGGGTAGGCCAAGCAAGCGTGTGAGTTCGGTTTGTGGGCGGTAGGGTTGCACGGTGCTCCGGGTGAGCGAGTGGCGTTACAATTGAGGTAGATTCATAGATTTAGCCCGCACAGAATTAGGCGTAAGGTGGTCAGCTTGTCGCCGATGGCGGGCAGACTTGGGCTATAGAGGTAAGTTCACGAAAACACGAAAAATTTCACCCATGTTTGGGTCCTGTTTTGGAACTAAATATCGTAGAGGGCGATGTGGGAAAACCTTATATATATCGACGAGGAGGGTCTGATGTTGACATGCCCACTGATGGTCGTGACCATACCCGCCCCTCCCTATCGTCGTTTGGCACAGCCTTCGTCTCTTCACTAGCGCGGCTTTTTTAGAAAGGAAACATACCCTCACAGAAAGACTACCCCGACTTTTTCGACGGGTTTTGCTGCTGCTGCTGCTGTTGTGGTGTTGTTGTTGGACTGCAGCCTCTTCCGGAGAGCTCATTCGAGTGGGTCATGCCTTCCACCAACGACTCTCAGAGGACTGCGGTCAGAGACATCGTCACCGGAGCTCACGGACAGGCAAGTCGCTGCACCTCTTGACAGCATCCTCCCCGCCCTCCACTTCATCTCGGTCGCCCGGCGCTTTTTTGGAGTGGTGGTTTGCCGAGGCCTACACGCTTGCTTGCTGTTCACGCATGGTAGCCCGCAGGATGCGACGCCGCAATAGCAGCAAGAGTAGCAGCAACGGCAGCACGGCGACGGCGAAACGCTGCCGAGTACTGTCGTAGACCTGCTGCGTAGAATATCCATGATTCTTATGTATGTTCCGCGGTAAACTCCTCGCTCCATGCTCCCGTTGCCCGCAGGTACCTTACATAATTTTTGGTCCTCCTGGCACCGGCAAGACGTGCACCGTTATCGAGTCTATCCTCCAACTCGTCAAGCTCAGACCGGAGTGCCGGATTCTGGTGAGGTACAAAGATTCATCATTTGATTGATCGACACATATTATTGTACCATATTATTTGATTGAAGTGATACTCTCCTGTGTGCTCGGGGGAAGAGCTTCTGGAACCCCGATGTCGGCCAAGCACGAGTTTTGGATACTGCAGGAACGCTGGCAGCGAAACCGTTCAGGGGGAGGGTAGCCTCGCATTGAGTTTGTGTTGCATGTCGAGATGTCGAGAGGCGCTTTCGCGGAGGCAGCCGTGGATGGGGTGGGGGGGGGTACTCATAGTTGTTTATGCCGTAGTCGTTAGACCATTGACCTCGCATCCCTACAAAGCCGGGACGGAGCACGCCGGGTTCTCACCGGACCAGGCTCTCACATCACCAAGCGCTAACCCCGTGAGGTATTCGGCGAGTCGCATGAAGGGTGCGCTGCATCCTGCTGAGGGTGTTCGGCATCTTGTGCTTACTTCCTTGCGTACGGATGACAGCTGCGTGTGACTTAATTTATTTTTCTGGTGCTTTCACTTGCAGAGACAGCTATAAGCACTGTGTGACTGCCTCGAGTGTGCTTGACCAATTTAACACAACGTGGTGTGATCATCCCCTTTGCGCGGAGTGAGGGTTCTCGACCCCGCACAACATGATCAAATCAACCACCATTATGGTTACCGCAAAAAAAAAAAAAAAAGGCGAAAAAAAAAACGGTAACCTGGTTGCCGAGCTCACGAAGTGATCGGCGTGTGTTACAACGTCGTTGCCAAGCGACCAAAACCCAACCCCGATGTCAAACACCGAGGGGGGGGGGAGTCATGGATAGGGGGAACGTTTGATACCGAGCCGTGGCGATTCCTAAAATACAGAGCGCCGGACACGCGTGCCGCACGTACTGCAGGAGTGGTGTGGATAGCCCTGCTGTTCTGTGCTTTCCGTGATCCGACCCGGGTCATCTTCCGCCTTGTCCATGCGCGGCATTTGGCGTGGGGCACATGTTCGTAGTTTTAGTGGTGTTCGCTACTACACCGTCCGGCATCTATCTAAAAATAATTGTCATGAGCCCTGGCGGGTGGACGTCCTTTCTCGCCACGCTTTCCTGCTTGCTGCCTCTTTGCCTGTTTCCTACTGTCGTTCGGTTCTCTCGCCCACCCTCTCTTTCTCCCTCTATCTCTCCCCCCCTCTCCCTCTCTCTCACGACACGACTGTTCCAGGCGGTGGGACCTTCCGACACCTCTGCCGACGTCATCTGCGAGCGGCTGTCGAGGCACATGTCTAGGGACCAGCTCGTGCGGATAAACTGGTGGCAGAGGCTGACGGCTGGCGTTCACCCGAACATCCTCTCCTACTGCCCGCAGGTAGGCCACCACCGGGCGCGGTTCGTCCTGTCCTGCGGCTGCCCTAAAGCCACCTCCCTCCCTTGAAGTGTTGTGCCCTACGGAATAGAGTCAACCTGACCTGCCGTATGGCACCCCGGTGCGATCGTCTCATTATAGGAGTATTGTTTAGTTCCCCATCCTTCCGGCGCACCCCTGCGGCGCCAATTCGGGGCACCGTGCCAGATCAAGGACCCGCCCCGAGCGGAAAATGAAGTAGATCGCTTGCTGTATGGCTTTCAGGTGCACCCCCGTGCGATACAGCTCATGTCGTGCTGATGATTGTGTTGTCGTTGTTGTTGTACTTGTTGTGTTTGTTTCGATAGCAAGAGGTAACGTTCGTACAAATCAAGCCTGTAGCGACGGCTCTCTCCGTGGCATGCTCTCTTCCGTGGTTTGACTGGCTGATTGATTTGTTGCCCGGCATCCAGTATTTGCTGCAGATCAAGGGAAGCCCGGTCTTCGAACAGCGCTGACCAACCCAGCGCGCGAACGTACTCCCTCACCTGCCCCTGTACAATTGTCTGGAGTGGTATGTGGACCGTTCTTTGAAACATCCTTCCTCTCCCGCTCGCTCGTCCTCTGTTTTTTGTCTCCTTTTTCCGTCTTCGCCGTAAACCCATACCATGGTATCTGTCTTTACCTCGGTCGTTTCAGGACAGCAACCGCGGGATGTTCGTGCCGCCTTCCACAATCACGCACCAAGTCGTGGTGTGCACCTGCGGGACGGCGGGAATGCTGAGCGTGCTGGGCGTGGACGAAGTGAGTATTCGCCGCATTTTTTCGGCCCCAACGGACAGTACGCCTAGCGTTGCAGTGCCCTGCCAAATCTGAAGGAACGGGCACGAGATCGCGGCAGTGTTCAATCAACGAGTGGTCCTTTTTCCATGTTTTCGATACGAGAGATGTATGCCACTTTTGTCCGATGTACCCACAAACGTCATAGGAACACACGGAACTGGTATGGTTTAATGTACAGCCAAGCCAAGCGGTACATAGCCTATTGTGCGCTTTGGTAAAAAAAATCGCCGCTCCCCACCCGTTTCATCTGTTGTACTACGCGAACAACAATCACAATCACAGCACCACCGACCTCGTCCCCACGAACACACCAAACTCTTCGTCCAACTTTTGGAAAAGGGCGCCCTCTCCCCCCCTCCGTCGGCCAAAGCTGGCATCGTACATGCTTTCGCTTCAAACGACGGAAATAGACCGATAAGACACAACCAACACAGCACAGCAACGAGGGGCACGAAAATCGGCCAGCTTTCAACTTCGGACTCCCGCTGTCAAGAAACGTCAGTTTTGCGGTCCAGGCTTTGCTTCCTTTTTGTGGTCCTCGCTGTCGAGCATGGGTTCCCACTTAAGGTGTAGTGAAGGGTACACCCCTGAGCTGGCTGAGTCTTCCCGACCAATCTTTCTATTCTGAGACTCATGTTCTTGAGACAGATTTGTCTTGTTGGTAGTGAGGGTGTCGTTTCTGTCCAACAAACTGGTCGCCGCTAGGCCGCCTGTTCTTCGTGCCGGTTCGTTCACTGTCCACAATTTTGTCCCGCTCGTGTTAAGTGCACCGCTTGAGGTCGTTCGTTGAGAAAGGTAGACCGGTAGGGTACGTAAAGTCTGCGAGACTACAATGGCAACCAGTATCAACTGGGGTGACTTTGAAACCGCACGTGCCGTTTCCGTGACCACCGTGAAACCGTCCAGAATTACTTCACGCACATTTTTGTGGACGAGAGCTCCAACGCCATGGAGACGGAGCTGCTGGTGCCCCTTTCGTACGCGGGTAGAGCGCAGATTATCCTCTGCGGCGACCCTCGACAGGTGTGTTTGTGTGTTTTTTATTTTATTACCATCGACCGCGCTAACCGGCTGACCAATGAAAAGCCGTCGGTCTCAGTGCGGTTGAAAACACAAAATGCGTCTAAAGACCACAATCTGAGACCCTGTGACCGAGCGTCATGGGGGAGTCTACGCTACTCTCTAGATCAAGGACAGATACCGTAGCAATAGCAGAGAAAAACTGCACGTGCTTACCAGGTGTGTGTGTGTGTGCTTTCTTCATTTTGGATCGACGGCTCTAACCGGTTGACCACGGAAAAGACGTCAGTGAGTCTTGTAGTAGTGGGATAAGAAACGCAAACATGCTTTCGAATAAAAGGGTTCTACCTACAGGGGGGGGGGGGAATTGGACGCGTGCGTGTGTGAGTACGCAATTGAGTTCTTGCATATACCACGTCCCTCAGTCCTCGGCCTGGGCTTTCGGGTACTCTTGTGTGTGTTTTTGAGGCTCGAAAATGGTTGCTTGTGAAAATGGTGCTACTTTCAAACGATCTCTCGTTTGTGGCCGTTCTTCCGCGCATTGTGTGGTCTTGCTCTTGCCGGTAACGACACGCAGAGGCGCGGAGGGGCACGAAATTAGGGGTAGGGCTAGGGCAGAGGTAGTACCAACCCTCCCGCAGGGAACCAGGAATCAAGGTCGAGCCCCGCTTGCTGATGCGAAGCCAAGTCGAGCTTGTCTATTGCGTGGGTGGGACTTGGAACGTGGCTTTCGCCCCTGAGCCTCTGCACGTTCAAGCACCAGCCTCATTTTATTCCAAACTGGTACTTTCGTACCAGGACCCGCGTTGGCGCACTCCATACACAACCCCCATCAACCTGCTCTTGTTGCGAGATCTTTCCGGCAGCGTCTGCTGCTAGGCTTAGCTGGAAGTGTTGCAATTTCACGGCTCCCGCACAAGCTTTTATAGCAGCGTCACTCCACCTAGGGTGATGCGTACGCACACCAACATTCAACGAACGAGGTGCTTGAGAAACAGCGAAATTTGTCGTGTCCTGCCAACTGCTGCCTGTTGTTTTTGCACTTTAGCTCCAAAAGACGATATAATAGTGTTGTGTTGGAGTACCAGGGGGTTCTCGTCAGTAATCAGTTAGCCCTTTCGTGCAGTCAAAGGTTCTCTTTCTCTTTTTGGCTGCAGAAGATGCCGGGACCCGCACACAGTGGCGCCACAGCAAGTACATGTATGTGTACGGGGGGTGGACTCCCTCGAACAAACTCACTTGGCTGTTGTTTTTTCTATGACCCGTGTTTTTCTTTTCTTTGTTCCCCCGTGTCTTGCCAGCTCGGCGCGGCTGTTCGAAGTCCTGCCGCAAGAGCTCTCGGGCTAGAGGTCTCCCTGCAGGTGGGAGATACAGAGATTGCTTGTTTTTGCGTGAAATTGGGGGTGCAAAAGTGGTGCTATCCGGTGTTTTTTTCGGTCGACAGCAGTGTCGCACGTCGTGCGCATAGCTTCGGACCTGATGCTGGGGATGGGGTGCTTTGTAGGCGGCACAGAAATCGGGCCCGGGCGTGTCCTTTGTTTGTTGTTATTGCAGTGCACGCCACGATGGCCTCGCAGTTTTCTAGGGTACTGACACCTCGCATTGTCCACGGTGCCTCCTTTGTGGGCTTAGGCTTTTCGGGATTGACCAAGAACAGTGTGGGGGTAGAGCCGAGACGTCCGGCTCGAATATGGATGTGAATTGAAATGGCCCACAAATAGCACGACCACTCGAGAACAGCGGGTAGTATTCCTTGAAACGCACGCCCAGAAAAACAATGCAAGGAAGGACTGAGCGAGAATATATGATGGGGTCGAGCCCAGTACTCCAACGCGAAAGCTGAGTCAAACACACACAAGGAGCTAGACTAGGGTGCATACCGCCATTGATTATGCCAATGCACCTGAAGAAGCGATTTTTGCACCCTTGCGATTCGTCGAAGAGTTGATCAACGAGGCGGGACAGGCCCACCTCAGCCCCCCCCCCCCGGGGGTGGGAGAAGAGCTCTCCAAATCACATCGAAAATAAAGAAAAAATACCCGTTGAACCACCTCACGCTCGCTCTGTCTTGATCGCGGTGTCCCCGCCTGCCTTTTTGTTATTGGCCTCCTTGTCCCCCACGCTCACTCCTCCGCGGATTCTTGATCGCCAGTCGACGTCGCGCGCACCAGTTCACCCTCGCTTGTTGAAACGCGGGTGGAAATGTTCTCGTCACTGTTTCATGTTCTTTGTTGTTGCAGGAGCGGCTAATGGAACAGGAGATGTACTCGAAGCACGCCCAAGCCCCGACGGCACTGTCGAGTGCGACCTCTAACGGAGCGGCTGACGTAAGGTATACTCCATGCTGTTACACACGTAGAGGTTTGCGGAATGCTATCTTGTGCTACTACCGTTGCTGCTGCTCCTGCTGCTGCTGCTGTTGGTATTGCTGCCGATGGCTGTTTAGTGCGTGGTGATTCAACAGGTCAAGTACTTCGACTCTCATATTTTTTCGCGCGCCCTCCTGGCAGACAGAGTGTTGGGATTCATGACCGTTCTACAATCTAGTCTAGATGGTGCCCCACGAGTTCGTACCCGAAACAAACTGAGAACAAGGCGTTGCTGGTGTACATTTCAGGGGAGTCGATAGTGTTTTTTCGTGTGGTTTGACCTCGGGTCGGGGATGCGTTTAGATAGTGATTTGCATGGTGTGTTTCTAAATGTGCATCGATTTGGTTTGTGGAGGGTCGTTTCCCCTCGTACTCTCTCTCGTCGAGTTGACCCAGAGTTTGCCACATAGCTTTGTCGGTCGTGCATGCACCAACTAACATAGGCGTGACTCTCCCCTCCCGCCCGACCCATCGAACGCTGTTTAGTTTATCAAAGGTAGCTCGTAGCAGAGAGATGAGAGCACCTTCGAAGCACTGCTAGTTGCCGACCTAGAACAACCTGCCTGCCCTCCCCCTGACTGACCCTCAGGCTGCCCGCACAAACCATGGAGTGTCTCCCTCCTCCTGGAAGAACCTCAACCCGTGGTAGAAATGTGCAACACATCCTTCACGCAGATGCCGTTGCCGGCTAGTAGACCGCCTCCCCTCTCCTTGCTTAACGCCGGCCATGTCCGCTACCCGTCGTCCGGTGGGCGCTTGCCTTCGCAGATGTATGACCCAGCTCCTCAACAACTACCGAGCCCACGAGGTCTTGCTGACCCTCCCTAGCGCCATGTTTTACGGGGGGAGTCTCGTGAGAAGCGCGGAGCGGTCGCAGACGGACAGCATGCTGACGTGGGAGGAGCTCCCCGAGACGAAGGCCTTCCCGCTGCTCTTCTACGGCATCCAGGTTAGGGTCAGGAAATATTTTTTGAGAGTTCGTGTTTTAGGTCAGGCTTTAAGGTATTGGTCATTCAGGTTAGGCTACGGCTGTATGCATTGTACAGCAGGAGACTACTACTGTAGTCTTGAGAGGAAGCTCTTCGATTCGTGTCAGTTTTGTCCTTCTGCGGACCCATCCATTTCATGGGTAGTCTCTAGGATTACGAGTGGTGGTCTTTTAGGCTTAAGAAGTGATACTTTCAGATTCGGGTTTGGGTGATCTTTTCAGGTTAGGGTGGGGAAACAAGGGTTAGAGCTTGCGGAGAAATCTTGTTCCCCGCTCACGCACAGCAAGATATTCTGGAGTAGTGGCGCGTTGTTTACTTTGCGTCTCGAGCGCGCCCAAGCGTGGTTGTAAACTTGGACTATTATAGTACGCGATACCTTCGTGATGAGTGCTCTCGTGAAATTTTGTTCAAGTATTGCTCGGACTGCAGTTGTATTTTTCGTTTGGCGTCTCTCTCGGGCTGACACGGGGAGCCTTGGCTAAGGTGCAGATGTCTCTCGTGCGGGATGACAATCACGGGGGCCGCCAAGTCTCATTGGCTTCCGCGGGGACTCGGACCGTTTCCTTCGTCTAGACAGAAAGAAAACCAAAGGTTGTGGCCAGCCGCGAGCGACACGATGTACAGGGAACATTGTTCTGAACGTTTTGTAAGAACTTAAGAACGTCGAACGCCCATGTCTCTCGTCTCTCTGTCGGTAACCGTTGTTCTGACCCCCCCCCCCCGCCCCCCCCGCTCTCTCCCCCATGTTGACCGTGCCCCTTTGTTCGTTGTCCTTGTCGCTGCCATGCCAACGACGATTCCCAAAGGGCAAAGACCTGTCCCCGTTGGACTCCCCTTCGTTCTACAATCCGATCGAATGCTCCAAGGTAACCATTCCCTCCTTCGATCACCTCCTTCTGGAACAATCCCTGCCATCGGTTGAGTCTTCAGCGGGACAAGGTCGCATTGATGATAGTGGCGTGGGTGAAAGCTTAGGCTTCCCCCGCTGCATTTTTCAGCTGTATCTCTGCAATGATATTCGACTCATTTTGCTTCGAGGCGCTTGGAAGAGACACGCTGGTACACCGATCGCCGGTTTCGCGTCTGTATCTTGCGGCGTCGGTTCGTGCATCGGCAATGCGCACGTGCCTTTTGCGTCTCGAGGTACAAGAGCGGCCAACGTTCATCAATTCTGTTGTTTTTGAGAGGAAGAAGGCTTTGCCCGTTCCGTCCCGTCCGGCGATTTGCTACATACGGGGTGGTTTACGGGGTGGTTTCCGTTCTTTTGCTTTTCTCGTCGCTCCCCGGGCCTGACCAGGTGATGGAGATTATCCAGGTGCTGCTGGCGAGCCCAAAAGTGCAAGTTTCTACCGGAGACATCGCCGTCATCTGCGCGTTCCGCATGCAGGTACGGTGTTCGATGCCTTCGGTGTGTTGTTTGTTGCCGGAGAACCTATGTACCTTTGACGGAGATTGTGCGGGGGAGGTTTACTATTGACCATGAGCCACGCCCATCTCGATCGGTTTTTCGAAGAGTTGAACCCGCACGTGTTGGAGATATATACCCGTTCTGTCCATCGTGTCCATTTTTCAAACAATCGCAATTCGGTAGGGGACCTCAGGGAGAGGAACCCTTCTGTGTGTGACCACGGGTTGGAGCAAACGGCATGCTGTAAGCACTGATTGCGGTGAAGACAAAAAAAACAAAACGTCTAGGGTAGGGATGGTCGCCAAATGCGCGCCAACGCAAGTCTACCCACATTGGCTTCTTGCACACACCCTACACCCGACTTAACCTTGTCTAACGGGAGACGGGGCTATCTGTGCTTACCCCGGTGAACCGTAGCGGCCGAAAGAGAGAACGAGAGACCGGAATAATGTTGCGAAAAATGAGGGATGAGTAACCAAGAATTGGCCTCGATGACGACTTGAACGAACATGTGAACACAGTAGAGCTGGTCCGACCAGCGTCAACAACAGCCGCTTGTTTTGTTGAAGCCACGGCGTTTGACAACGGTTGTTGCTTCGTGGCAGATGCCCTTGCGCTCACGGTCTGGAAGCCTTGTTGTTGCGACAGTCTCCACCCCCTGCATCTGCATCTCCCCCCACCCCCCGGAGCCGTAGTCGGCGCACGCACAGGATTTCCAGACGGCTTGGTGCGTTACGCATTTCCTGTAACGACAATTACCCCCTGAACGTATTGAACGCCGTTTGTCGGCGGCAGGTGTTGAGGCTCAGGAAGCTGCTCAGGGACAACAACCTTGGAATCGTCAATGTTGGCCAGGTGGGTGATTGAATTGGCGTAGAAACGTGAGTGTATAGAGGTTGTTTCGGTCCAGAGGGGGTAATATAAGGTGGCAATAATCTGCGTTAGAAAAATGACGAGTACGTCGAGAAGTATCCCTAACACCATGAGCAGTTACGAGTAAAACAGCCAGGCGGTATAGTCCTGAGTGAAAGGCGCTTGTTTTCTGTCACAAGGTTACGTGGACAAGACAGAAGCGTGCCCTTTGCTCGCATAGCCGTCGGTATCCGATCCGCAATACAAAGGGGGTGAGGTGTCGGTAATTTCCTGGTGTTTTTGTGTGTAGCTCATGTTTCGCACTCTGGCATCAAATGTAGGCGCAGCTCACCATGCAGATTGTTACTGGGGAAAATCAATCGAGCCTTTTACACCACCAGCAAACAAAAACATCGACCAAAACCATCCCACACACACACCCGAAAGGTGGAAGACTTCCAGGGCGGCGAGAAAAAGATCGTCATCATCAGCACCACCCTGTCCAAGAGACACCGGGTGGAGAAGGAGGGCAAGATCGGCTTCCTTGGCGACCCCAAGAAGTTCAACGTGGCCCTCACCCGGGCCCAGGCGCTCGCCGTTGTGGTGGGAAACCCCAACCTGCTGGCCGGGGAGGAGTACTGGAAGGAGCTGCTCATGTTCTGCAAGGAGAACGACGCTATCCGAGGCTGCGCGTGCCCTGCTCTAGAGGTAGGCATGCGCCTGCGCCGCGGGGACCTTACGTCCCACCTGCGAGCTCTATTGGCTCACCACAAGAAGTTTCTGGGGCGTGTTTTTGATCCTTGTCGTTTTTCGCGGGACTCGTTGTCATTCTCTATCACCCCCACGTCCCATCACAACACAAATTTCTCAAGCTTTTTTTTTCTTTCCTGCGAGCAGGTGGGAGGGAGGGAAGACGAGGCCAGCTTGGTCGACGCTGTGCTCCAGCAGAGCTTGCTGGGGGGGGGAGGGATGGATCTCATGTACCCGGAGCACGGCGACTTCTACGATCAAGACGACCTGCAATGGAGGGTCATGCTCTGATGACTGCCGTTCTGCGGACATGGTTTTCTCTGATGCACACTTGTTGCTGCTGTGCCTGCGTGCGTGTCTTGTGCAGTGTCTGCTGCAACACGGTGCTGCAGGGATTTTCAGGAGAACGCACTAAAAGCAACAGAGTCGACAGTGAAATCAGTCGATGGTTTTTTTTTTTCGTTTTTTTTCCGAGCCGCATTCGCAGTGTTCTTGTGTGTGTTTTTGTGGATATGTGCTGATCCTATTGTGATATAGTGTCCTCTCAGGTCCTCGGTCCTCGGTTTTGTTTGTGGCTGTGTTATATGTGTAGAGACTTGTACAGCCCATTTTGTCTCAGCATCTGCCTGGCAATCGGTCGACCAATCAACGAACCCCGGTTCTACACTCGACAAAAGTCATTAGCACGGATGTGAGACAGCTCCCCACGGTTCTGGTTGCGTGAGAGGGATAGACCAGGCTCCATGCTTCCATGCCTACGTGCCCTACACGAACGGTAAACACAGATCTCAGTGTTGCGTGTCGCCCCTGAATGTGTTATCTGCGTGATTTCATTATTGAGCATGGGGGATGTTAGTAGTAGGCGTTTTCTACGTGTGAGGCGCAGAATTGTACCAGACACCAGAGGCATTTTTTCTGTTGGGAGGGAAGAAAGGGGCTGACCTCGCCTTCGTGTTGGACCGCGAGGACGTCGTTGGTATGTCCTCGTTGTGCCGAAGCACGGCGCAGACACGCGGGTAGGGAGGGGGGGGGGAGGTCACGAGAGAAGTCGGGCGATGCACCAGCGTTGCTTGATCTGAGGGATACTGCGAAGTAGTTCGCTAAATAATGAAGGAAGAAGACGCGTCCGCAGTTTACTATTTTTGAGCAGGGACAGTTTCATGTAGCTCCAACGCAACCGTAAACACAAACAGGGCGACTTTTTCTGCAGAAGCGCCGTGCTTGCGTGATATGCACGAAGAGCAGTGCCGCCTTTTTTGCGCCCCGATCTCAAACGGCCCCAACAACAGCGAGCGGTGATGGTCTAGTCTATTGCGTAGAAAAATAATACGTACACCAACGTCTCTTCTTATTGCGTCTCTTCGTACAAGAGGCCCATACAGCACAGCAGTGCCGGGAAAATGTACAAAATCTAAATTATAAGAGAGGTGTGCCAATCATCGATGATTTGTGACAAACTCAGCAGAAAGGTATGCAGTTGTTGTTGTTGTTGTTGTTGTTGTTGTTGTCTTCAAACCGTTCCGTGCTCTCTACCTAGTACCTTCTTCTGCCCGTACTAGCCTACACTTGACGCGGTCGATTCCCGTGGTCACAGGCTAACTTGCCCAAAAAAGGTACAAGTTACGAAAAAATGGACCCGAAGGATTGTAGTCTACAGTATAAATCCAGTGTTGTAATCTGTCACAAAGATTGTTAATGCACTACAAGCAGAGCGCAGACCATGAGCAGTCTTCGTTTTCTGCACCGCTCTGTCAGCTGGTTTAGTAGTGTGAGCGCACGCTTCGGCTGCTCTCTCTCTCGGGCTCAAGCTGTATTGTAGACTGCTGTGTCTCAAGGGTGTCTACATCCAAGATCTCCGTCGGAGAATGTCCAGATCTCCGTCGGAGAACTGGTTTTCCCTGACGGAGAAACCGCCTGTCGAAAAAATCACGACCGACGAACCGACGCCCGACTCATCGTGTCGTGTCTGCCTATTTGTCTCGCACTCTTCCATCTTGGCCTAGAGAATACCAGCGGCTACAGCCCTGGTGAAAGGGTTCAGCGTGATGTCTTCCACACGCGTCATGGAGTCCAGGGCGTTGGATCACTACTATGGTGAGATCGTAGGCGGCGGTCATGAACGTCGACCGCTCGTCGACCCTCCTCTTTTCGCCGCCTCTCGGCTGTCCCTTGTACGTGTGTTCAACGGCGCAGCTAGTTTAGGCCTTGTCTGTTCTTGTTGTCGATGTTGATCTAGCACCGTTTGTCATCTTGATACGTGTCTTCCGTAGAAGAAATGTATTGCGAGTATCGACCAAACTTTGGGGCGGTAAGGGTTGTTCGGTACATAAATTACAGTACATCGGGCGACGTAAATGGAGACCACGACATACTATTGCGGATTGTAGTCCTGGAGCTCTGCACATGTGCGTGTGCATGAAGCGGGGCCCGACTCCGTCGCGTCCGTTCATAGTCGATCGTGGTGCACTAAAACTGGTATGTATGAGTAAACAATAATCTAGACTATTCCAAATGAGGTGCCCGAAAACGCCTCCCTCCGGCCTGTTGTTGTTCCTGCTTCCACGTTCACCTCAGACCCTGTATACACGACTCCTTTCGAAGATAATGGACTGTACAAGCCCCTTCGACCAGCTATTAAAGCTGACGGCGGTAACGCTATCATTGGGCCCAACATGACCAAGTATCTCAAGCGGCCCGTCATCCCCCAGCTCAATTCGGTTGCCCCGGAAGTGTGAGTGCGTGCACGTCAATGCGGCTTTGACCATGTAGTCTGGCGTTTGCGGTACTGCTATTGTGTACAATAGTTCAGTACACGCAGCATCGCCTACGCAACCCATAGATGCAAATGCCGTTCGTAAGCGCCGCCATATGCTGCAATGCGACGTCGATGTGTAGCACTTCCAACTACATAATATGCAGTGGGATTGGTGAAAACTGAGACAGCGTTAACGCCAGATAGTCAGAGACGCCCAGAGCGCCAAGGTTCACCGGGTATTCTGTTCAAAATGCTATGCAATGGTACGAAAATAGGCTACGAACAGAAACAGGTTCTGTACACATGCAGAGCACATATTGGAAGCAGACTACATGTAATCCTTTGACTGCATCATGACCGACGGTTGCAAATCCAACAGTACTGCCCACAATGCGACGACTCGATTGATATTGATCGCGGTAATGGTAGGCTTTTGGCGCCAACCCTCAATGAGGACCCTATGGAAGCCCCGTGGGAAGAGCCCGACACATTCACCAAGGACGTCGGATCACAGACCAAGTACCGGGAGAGCGAGGCCCAAACCGTGCCGTACAGTCGGGACTTCGTGCTAGATCCCGAGTCTGAGGAGCCCGAAGTTCTCATGCTGCAGGGCCTAGTACACGGTGAGCTGATGGCGATGGCCACTATGAATAAGGCATGAATGAGGCTACTGTTGGTGGTGCGTCACGGTCCTGCAGAGGTTATGCGAATATTCTACGTTTTTCCCAGCAAGAAGTATCCAAACCAGCATTGGTGCATCGCGTACCATATATCCACCACGTTAGCCAGCAGCACAAGCTGCCTTCAATGCCTAGGTTCTTTGGGACAGGCCGGGGAAGGGGTGGGCTAAGAAGCATAATCTTCGTTCCACGGTGTGCAGTCGTTCATTTCGATGACGAAAACCATTGCAAGCTGTGCCCGAGGAAAACCTGACGCGAAGCAATCCCAACGATGGCTCGCGGGAACGGTACGGGGTCGTCATGAGCAGCGTCCGCCTTTCTGACCGTTGGCTTAACAGGTGCTGGGCTTCCCGTGGGCAAGCGAGAGGTGGAGATGCTGACGCATGCGCGTGCGAAGCGCCTACTAGAAGCTTCGCTTCCTCCCTTCACCGATGAGGCTTCCCTGGCGTTGAGAAAAAAACTGATGGAGAAGCAGGAGCTGACAGAGCTTGGTCTAAGGGAACGAGAACTGACCAGGCGAGCCGTCGTGCACGATCTTTGAGTCCACCTGCAACACTCGGCAGTTGGAAAATGTCTATAAGATTTCACGATCGACTTGTTTGCAATGTGTCGCGATGGACCCTCAAACACAACACTACGTACTTCTCGGCAGCTCTGTCATGAGCTGGTCACCCATTTTTTCTTTGTTTTTAGAAATCCTTACTCTATACCGTGGCGGGTCTGACTCTTCACACCCTAGGGCTCGAGATGAACGGCTCAAGATCCTGAAGAGAGCTATGCGAGAACGCGACCAGGGAGCTGAGTTTCTCGCGCAGCAGCGCATAGAGGTGAAGGTTCAACCGGATATAGCGTTCCACAGTCCGTGACCGCACTGCCTGCGATTCGAGATGCTCGTTATCCTGGTCACTGCCCCCTAGTCAATGCTCCGCCCAAGTGCAGCCATGTCGTGACGCGAGAGGGCTGGGGGTCTGTCACAGAAGCATAGCCACGCCAAGAGGGGCAGCGGCGACTCGCAAAGAGTTCGTTCGTCTAAACGGTGCCCCTAGAGCAGCTCTCAGCGCAACGGCCAAGCAGTAACAGCGGCGGTCAGCTTGTCAGAACAATGATATTTCTATGGCTGCGGCATATACCTTGTACCCCGTTCGATTTCCCCTTGCTACATATTTTCTCCTGTTTCCGTTTCCGTTGTGCTGTCAAGAGCAGGCCCTGCGGCAAGCAAAGGTGGAGGGGTGCGAGAGGGTAGTGGGTGCGATACAGGCGTCGAGGATAAAGGTGTTGAGAAAGCTGACGAAGGCCAGGAAGGCAATGCCCACACAAGGGCACGAGCAGTCCCAGCGCCGCGACATCATACAGGTGGGTTGGTAGCGGTACCGGATCAACGGTTGGTTGATCGAGGAAGGGGAAGTGAGGCCTGGAGTAGGAGGAGAAGAGATCGTTGGCATGGCTGATTGGATAGAACCGGACGTGATATCGGGGACAGAACGAGGTGTGCATATACCAAACGATCCGGGGTTGATCGAATCAAAAGCCACAAGCCACCCTTTTCTGTTTCGCTGAAGCAGGTTCGGTACTTTAGAGCCTAACCCGAACCTTGGCTTGCCACATGCCGCAGTGACTCAACCTGCGGGCTCTGGCTGGGCAATATGTGCTGGACAATGTCGACGGTTCATGTGCTGGGTTGGTCCGAAAATATTTTCTTGCTCTTCCGCTCCGTCCAACGACTACTGCGCAGGAATACTCTGATTTTGGGTCCGGCGTTTACGCTCCTATCACACGTCTCGGTCGTCGCATCGACCAAGACAGTGAAAGGTGAGGAGCTGGGTAGCCAAGACACAAAAAATGATACCCCAAATTTCTCCGTGTCTGGTTGAACGTATCCTACGTCATGGCCTAAGCGAAACGCAGTCGTCACGCCGCTGTAGTTCAGCTGCCTTGACAAAACACGGCACTCGGCATGCCTAAGCTGAGAAGCGTAGACCAGTACCCGCCGACCCAACTGCCTCGCTTCAGCTCCCCATTCAGCGGAGGGTCATGCGGAACGAAAACCTCGCCTTCTGTCCCCGCCAGACCTCTGCCGCCTCAAGTGTGTTCAATTTCACGGCGTGTCGATCGATGTACAGTATTCACTTTCCGTGCACTTCTGCCGTGTACCCTTGGGGCTAGGTTCGCACTACCGAGCGCCACAAAGTCACTCAGCACCTACCACGGCATATCCGCCTTGGAGGCCACCATGAACCCTGCCCTTACGAGGACCGTCATCAAAAAGCCCAGCCGGGTCAAGCCAAGGGCCACTACCACGATCGCCAGGAAGCTGCGCGCGGTGGAGGTCGACCTCGAGAAAACGGCCGCTCTCCTCAAGGCTCGGAAGGGAGCGGCAGCACCGGGAAGTGCAAAGCTGGCGGAGGCCAACCCCAACGTGAGTCGAAAGCTCACTGGTGGGGACAAGGGGGCATCGGGGCGATAGCTGTGTTCTGGGCGGGTCTGGCGTGGACGCTAGAGAGCGCCATCAAGACGTATCTCTGGTATATAGTGGCCTTGGTAGGGGGCTTTCGAAAATCAGGCGTTGGGCCTACGTGCCCCTACTCTAGATGCCGACTCGTCTATGTTCCCTTTCGTTGCTTGTCAGAACCGATCAGGAAAGAACGCGCTCGGTACCGAAGGAGCGGTCGACGACGCGACGGCGATGCCCGCTTGGAGAAACAAGACTTCACGCAAGGAGAGACCACAAACCCCGAGGTGCGCATCAACGGATTTCAAGAAGAAACGATAACGTGACTCTCTGCTTTTAACGCCGCTCCTTGGTTATGGCATCGTATATCTCAGCTTTTGTCTGCCCATACCTTTCATTTTTCAACCCCAACCTAGTCATCTTTTTCTTCAGCTACTTTGATAGGGCTAGAGTCACACAAGATTATTCCGCTCTGCGAAGCCCCGACTTTTTCTTGGCAATGGGTTCTTCCAATTTCGTCGCGCAGATAGTCTTGCCATCGTATTTCCCTCGTCAAGGTAATGTCGAGACTCGGAATTGTGGATAGTTCTTGGACCGAGCAAAAAAAAGTTGGTTAAGAGCGAATCTGAATGTTTTTTTGGCCTAGAGCTGATGGCGAGCTGTTGGTTCAGTTCCTACCTCGTTTTGAACAAGCAGCAGCACCATGTAGGATCCTTTTCGTACCCACTTCCGACCAATCGGGCGGCTCCACCTCACGAAACATCGCGGCGCATCTTCCATCGATGCCTTGGATTGCGTAAGGCGCCGAGTGACTGCGCAATGGTTCTCGAACGTACTCCCAAGGACGGGTAGGATGGCGACAAAGACTTCCACGGCGACGGCGATCCATGTTCACGCTTTTCCCCCCTCTTGTTTTGTGTAATGTTTTTGACAGGGTACCGGATCCACCGGAGGACGAGCAGGAGCACCTGGCGGTGCTCCTGCTGCAGAGGCTTATCCGAGGCAGGGCGGTCCAGAACGTCATGTTCGAAGGAAAGGAGCGCCGGAAGGAGCTCATTCGAGAGTTACGCATCGCCAAGCAGGTGGTACTCTGCGTGGGTGTGGCTGTGTTGGTGTTTTTTTTCCTTGTATCTCGGCAGCGCTTTCGTGCCCTCAGCTGGTGTCGAGGAACCCATCGCCATGTCCCGGTCTGGTTCTCTCGTTCTCTGTCGAGCTTGCTGCCAAATGTACAAACCGCGCACTTGTGACCCTCCTATTATAGTGCGATATTTTGGAGATTCGCCCCATCGTACCGGCTCACTCACTCTCTTTCTTCTCCCCACGCCCTCCGCCCCCCGCGTTCGCAGCTGGAGGACGACAGCGAGCAGGCGAGGAAGGTGCAGGCCAAGGCCATCGAGGCCAGACGGCACCGGGTGTGCAAGGCCGCCCTCGACAACATGGCCGGCGAAGCCGTCGGCTCGCTCTTCGCCACCATGGCCGACAGAGCTATGGGCATCGACGTCGATGGCAAGGGCACCGGCGCCGGTTCTGCTCTCGAATCACAACACGAGGACAGTCGCGTGGGCGCAGCAACGGCAGGGAGCGGGGGGGTTGGAAGCCACAGCGGGGAAGGTGAGGGGGTGGCAAAGGCTGAAGCGGAGCAGAGAGAACAACCGACGGATCGGAGACCTCAGCGGTCCGGAAACCAAGAAGAGGAAGAGGAACACGGGTCTAGACAAGGAAATGGGAGCCGTGGAGCCCAAAGCGCTGAGGGGCGAAACGACGGGAGCAAGGGCGAGTCGGATGCTGTCAAGAACGGGAGCGCTGACGAGGTCGTGGCAGGTGGAGGAGGCGCTGCCGGCGAGAGCGGTTCTGCGAGAGATATCGAAGCCGGAGTGTCAAGGTGGGTGTTGTCGAAGTTTTGCCTTGGTCATTCTTGAAAAGATTGAGGCAGCTGGCTTTTATGGGCTGTCTTGGTTGCTTGGACTTCTTGGAAGCTGGTTCTGGATGTAGTCTTCGAGGTCCAGCAGCTAGAACCAGTGTAACCACCTGAACTCGGTTCACGCGGAGGCTGTATCATCATCATGGTGGCCTACCGACAGCACGTGTTTGTGTACAACTACAAGACACATGTGGTATTTTTCTCGCAAACGAACACGTGTTCGACGAATAAGCACAACAGCATCAAGTTATTCAGTCAACGAAATGCTTGCATAGCCAGCATGGTACCCCTCATTCACACGTATCAACACTGGAACAAACGATCGACGAGGGAGTTCGTGTCGTGGTCTCCTCGTTTGTCGCTTGGCATCACAACCACCTCTTTGTGAGCGTTCTCTCGACGGCAGAACACGGGCCATAATAAGCACTGACCAGACGGCCTTTCTCCGCTTCGGTGTCTTCGTCTGTTCGTGGTTTGACGAATCAAAACTGTTACCCCAGTACCGCTCGCGACTCCATCCAAGGAGCTGTGGACACGGCCATCAGAAGTGTGTCATCGGACAGAGTCTCCACTCCGAGAGACGACGACGAAACGCCAGCATCATGACAGAAGAATATGACTTTATCTGCGAAAGGCGCCTATAGATTAATTTACCGTGTGTACGGGCACCCTTCGTACCTGCCAATGTCCTGCCAGCGTTCTAAAATAGGGGAGCGAAAAAAAGAGCAGAGGACGCGCGGGGGACGCCCAACTCTGTGTACGTACGCGAGCATGTGGCTAACATGATATTCCAGGTGTTCTTCTAGTTCACCGCATGCATTGCAAAGTTGCAAAAGTTCCAACCGATGTGTGAGGGTCTTGAAGGGGAGGTGCTTGTCCCGATGATAGTTTCTGAACGTGTGGCGTGAAGTTCCGGCGTAAGGATACCGTAGTGCTGAAGCGTTTGCCATCTGTTGGGCTTGTCCACTTCGTTCGTCGTAATATGGCCCGTGTTCTGCCGTCGAGAGAACGCTCACAAAGAGGTGGTTGTGATGCCAAGCGACAAACGAGGAGACCACGACACGAACTCCCTCGTCGATCGTTTGTTCCAGTGTTGATACGTGTGAATGAGGGGTACCATGCTGGCTATGCAAGCATTTCGTTGACTGAATAACTTGATGCTGTTGTGCTTGTTCGTCGATAACGTGCTCGTGGTCACAGGCGCAATGCTCCAACATCTCCGCTAGTCGGAAAATACACTAACAGGCACCAATCGCAGTTGATGCCACGTTGAAAATCATCGCTGTGGTGTTCGTATTAACTTGATATCGGCATGGCTATCCAGCACGTGAACATTTCGTCAAGGAAAGGAACCGAGCGGAGATGGTTCGAGTGCAGCACAATCCACACCACAAAAACAAAAACGAAAAAGTTTAGGGAGCCGAGTGAAACAACAGGAGCATAGGGGGCGCCCAAGTCGCCCAGTGCACACAATTAGAATACCTCCGTGCAGGCATCGTATTTAACGTCCCTAGTCAATCGTGCGTTCATCCACGAACAAGGTTGTTGATGTGATGAATCCTGTTACTCACAATGACACTAAACTTCTTCTGACAGCTCAGGACGGAGCATATGCCCCTTGATCGACACCTTTCAACCCAAATTTCGGCCTCACACCATGATGTACCGCGAGCCTCCAGTGTTCCTAAAAAACAATTCAAATCTCAAACCCAAGCTGTCAGTCTGCTTTGTGTTGGGGACGAGACCGCGTAGGAACCCTGACTTCATGATCCGGAGATGCCCTCCAGATGGTATCAACCATCTCCCCGCGGAAGGCGCTAGGAGGACATATGGACGTAGACCCCCGCCTGTTCTTGACCGTCACGTGTTCTCCAGATTCACCCCCTTCCACCACCATCACCGGCATGCGGAACGGGGGGTGTGGGCACACGGCGACCATACTTCCAACGCGCCCAGACTTTCAGCTTCGGTCTCCCGACCGACGGTATGAATCGCTGCTGCCTCCTGGCCGCTGCGCTCGAAGGAGGAGAATCATACATCGAACTGGCACCCCCAGCCCCAATGCCTCGGAGGATGCGCACCCCCGCCCTGTCGACACCGTGGGTGGCGTTCTGGTGAACGGGTACCGCCGGTGTGGGGGAAACACGAACACGGCGCGTGTCCGCACTGTTGTTGGTAGAGTCGGCAGAAGGGGTGGATGCCGACAACGACGATGCGCCCACCGCTCCACGCAGAGCTGCAGTGGCGCCGGTGGCACCCCAGCCCTGCTCGTTGGAGCTCCGGCTTCCCTTCAAGCTCCGCGTGGCCATCCTCTTTGCCCACCACGCCCGCTGCCCTCCCGATTTTTCGCTTCCCGACCGAGCTTCAGACGGGGGAGAAGACGTCGCGCCGCTTGCGTTGCCATCTTGTTCTGCTTCTCCGCTCCCGCTGCCTCTTTGAGCCCCGTCGACAACGTCGACCCCGCCATTTCTGACGACGTTGACCCAGGCGCCCGCAGGCTCGTCAACGTCCATGCCGCTGCCACCACCACCACCGTCACCGCCACCTCCGTCCGGGGCTACGACGTCGTTGTTTTCGTCTCCGTCCGCTACAGCCGCTGCAGATTCGACGCCCGAGGTCCCCTGTTCTGGAATACCCCCGTCGATGTTGCTGCTGCCGCTGCTGTCCACGGTCCCCCGTTGAGCTCCACACGGTCGGTGGTGGGACGGGGAATGTGTAGGGCTTATCGCCGCGTCCGCGTTTTGGGCGTCGTCGTCGCCTGCGGCATTCCCTTCCAGCTCGACCACCGGCCTCATCACCTCGGGTGGGGCGCCAGGGCCGACGCGATAGCCCACGATCAGCGTGTCGCCGCCCCGCGCTCCAAGCCTTCTCAGCAGCGCGCCGTCGGGCTCCATGAGGATCCCCCTCCACAGGAGGCGTTGCCGGCAGGGGGACACCCCTTCGAAGGCGGCCACTTGTGTCTTGGCGTCCAGGACCGTGGCGGTGGGCGCCATGGTCAGCGTCAGCGCCCGGCCGGAGGGGCTCAGAGCAAACATGACGGTTGAGTAAGGACCGCTCCCGTGCTCGACGGTGGGTCGGGTCTCGACCGTGCTAGCGCCGTTCCGGTGCAAAGATGACGGTGTCGTCAAGGAGCTACCCTCGTTGTTTTGTGGGACGTAGGTGGCCGCCACCGGGGGTGATGGTGTGAGGTGAGAGGGCTGCGAAGGGGACCGTAGTACATCGGTGCCTCGAGATGGAAGACCGACGCCAACGGCGCCTCTGAACTCGCTGGCGGACCATCCTTGGCTTGAATCTCTCATTGCCACCTGCTACATTAATAACGGGGGAGTAAGGACCGGTCAATGGGTCGTTCGCCCATCAAGATGCTACGAGCGCAAGATGAGAGCAAAGGCTGTCTCGCAGACGTCCACGATTGGCGCGCAGGTTTACCAAAAGCATTCACAGTCGTACTGGGCTCTGTGCCTCTATTCAATCTCGAAGAGGGACATTGTAACACATGCAGATTGACGTAACGTCAAAGACGAGTGTGACGTGACCAACCGCTGGCTCTTACCTGAAGGCTGTTTCGCGTGGTGCATTCCGCAACGTGGAGCTCAAGACGTAGCTCGCCCCAGCCCTTCGGCGAAAACCCTCCCACAGGAACACCCCACACGCAGCATTCCTTGAGGGTAACGTTAGCTCCTAGTCGCTGCGCCCCTCCGCAGATCATCAAGCCTTGGCGGCTTGGGACAATGCCGTGGTCGACACATATCCTCTGTGCAACGTAGTTTGGAAGACAACGGACAGGTGAGATGGGCGGTGATCAAGCAGCGCGTCGACTTTACTCTTGGTGCATGCCTTTGGACGACCTGTCGAAATATCGAAGGTTTCACAGTATGTCTCAGAAGGTACTTTACGGCTGCCGCATGAGCATCCCCTATCGATACAAACACCTTTCGTCTAAGATACTGGAAGTGCTTTGAGGTGTTGAAAGCAAGTCGCGGCAATCTCACCTGTTTCACGTCACCAATCGTGGCGCCTGGCCCCATGGTGAGAGACAGCGACCTCTGGCTTCCACGAGGAAACGAAACGACGACCGCAAGGCCTATGTGCAGCGTTCCATCAACCTTGCAACTATTCCGCACCCAACCATCCCGCAATGTGGTGTCTAGTTCACCATCGCGCCCGTACACAGGGCCTTCAAGCTCAAGGGCCCCATGTCGTTTTTCTCGAGCGCGTGCGAGCAGCTCCCCGAACGTTGCCGTGTTGGGCAGCCGAACCATAGCCCGACGAAGGACGTTGCGGCCTTTGCCCCCCTCCACTGTGCATGTGACCAGCTGATGCGGTACCGGAGTGTGCTTCACCTGCCGCGATAATAACAAAACGAAGTCGGAGCACGCCACAATTTTTAGTAACAGTCTCTGATAAACCACCCGAACAAGTTTCATGCACGCGGTTGACAGAACTAAATATCTACCTGTGCTCGGAGAAAGTATTGGATATGTCCGTCCTCGACCTCTGTGACATGTGCGCCTTCAGGAAATTGTGCCCCGCTCTATGTACTTCAGGCACGGCGACAAAAGCTTACTGTAGACTATTTTCTTGTCGCCTATCGGCCTGGTCGGGATACCTTCAAGTTGATCTCCTTCCGCTGCCGCTTGACGTAGCGAGGCCATTGGTGGCGCTTTCCAGCGAAAACAGAAGAGAATATTGCAGTATGCTGGCCGTGGTACTCCGACAGTGTGTTCGTTAGGTCAACAGCCTCCAGCCCTACGTGATGATAGTGAAACGCGAAAGAAAAGAGGCTGGTAATTCGGCATGCTTGCGGAACGAAAGTCGGTGCTTGTCACAAATCGCCCTTATTACATACAGAGGACAGATTTTCCATGCACCTAAGAAACAGGGCCGCCGGGAAGTTAAGCCTACGAGCACCGATTGACACGGGATGCCGAACAGAAAAACTCAGTATTGTTCCGATAAATCGAAATTCTCTGGACGCACTTCAGGTATTGTACTTCTGCTTTACTTGCTATAGTTCTACAGAGTACAGTAGTCTTACGACAATTATTTTTCTGACAACAGTAACGTCATCATCAAGTAGTTTCGTTCAACCAACCTACGCAACTGCTGTAGCGTCGAGGGCCACAATATTCGACACCACTTAACTATGATGCTTGTTCACATACCGTCCTACGAGGGTACTTTGCTATGCATTGCAAGTCTAGACGACGATGCACACCTGCAGACTCCAGCAAAGTTAGGTCTCCTGTCGGCACTCTCAACACACGTGCCATACCCTCGAGAACATCGAGCATGGTACATCTGGTAGGACAATAAGGGGGGTGGGTGGGGTGGTGCTGAACCATCCGCATTTTCCGCACGGGTTGTGTTTGACGAGGAGAGAGAGAGAGAGAGAGAGAGGTACACGCGGAATGGAAGTTGCGATTGACAATTAAGGGACTGTCACACGCGACCCCGATACATGACAGATGAAAAGAGGCTACATGTACATATGTCGACACAGTTATTGAATGCGAGGGTCAATCACAAGCAGCGGGGGGCAGTTAGCTCACGTAGCTGTGTAGTCGATCCGAGTGAAGCGCTCGTCGAGACCAAGGCTTGGCAGT